CCACCACCACCACCACCACCACCATCATCAGCAGTAGCTTTGTGGGTAGTCGGCACGATGCAGGGGTTCAACATGGGTCGATACCGACCGCCATCCTCAGATCCACGTCGAGACCCCTTTAACGCCACACATCCACTCGGTGCACGGGCGCGCAAGATCTCGTCCGGGATTCTGATCGTCCGCTTCGCACTGCCGTTCCACATCTACTGCCTCGGCTGCAACGCGCACCTCGCTCAAGGCCGACGGTTCAACGCGGAGAAATCGCACGTGGACGACTACCTCGACATCAAGGTATACGGCTTCCGATGCAAGTGTCCCTGTGGCGAGTGGTTTGAGATTCGAACCGACCCGCAGCATGCCTGCTACACCGTGCATGCCGGTGCGCGCAAGCAGATCCAGGATTGGGATCCATCTCAACACGGTGGCCATGCCATCTACGATACCGAAGCAAAGCAAGACAAGACAGATGCATTTGCAAAGGTTCAAGGACACGAGCAGCTCAAGGCGAACAAGAGAAAGTGGGAGCAAAGGGTTAGGGAGTTGGAGGAGCAACAGCAACAGTCCAAGGATCCCTACACGGCCAATGCCAACCTCAGGCGCGCGTTCAGGAGCGACAAACATGCAAGAACCCACCAGCTGCAGCAGGACATCAAGACGAGGAATGCCATCGGCTGGAATCATGATCGCTTGCTGCTACCCACGTCGCCAGAAACCGACAGTCGAGATCGCCAGGCGTGGAGAGCGCAACGCAAACCCAACACTTCCGCACAGACAGCGCCGCCCGCACAGAGATTAAAGAACACCATCCTGGCCAACTCGCGGCGCAAGGCAGACGCCCAAAAGGCTCGCCGCCAATGAAACCCCGTATACCCGTCCGCTCACAACGATACCCACGCGCACAACCTGCAATCCACCCATGGCAATCTGGTTGGTCTAGGTGCGGTCGTCGTCGGTGCGTCGACAGCTCGGTCGGAGCAGCTCGTAGCGCTGGCCCGTGGGCGTGTCGACGAGCTTGAGGTACAGAAACAGCTTTTCGCGCTGCAGTTTGAGTTCGACCGGGTGCAGCGAGAGCCACTGGAGCGCGCGCAGCCTGGTGCGCTGCCAGCGCGTGTGCGTGGCGACGCCGTCCAGCCGCTGCTCCCACCGGTACGCCGTGCGCACCACCACGCTCGCCGTCGAATACGCCGTCCCACCCCCCGTGTACTGCGACGGCACCGACGCATTGGCCGTCATCCCCCACGACCGGTCCCCTGCGGCATGCCCGCCAGAATCGCCGCTCGAGTCGAACGTGTCGTCGACCGTGGAAATACCGCGCCGCGTCGCGTGCGTCGCATCGTGCCCGAGCCCGACCTTGATCGTGGCGACGCGGCGCAGGTCCGAGCTGACCGGGTCGAGGAACGGGTTCGGCGAGCCGGCGTCGGGGTGCGACCAGCCGCGCCGCGGGTTGAGAACGCGCCCGTCGTGGTGGCCCGCAAAGACGATCTCGTTGAGGTAAAAGTAGATGCGGTTGAGCATGCCGCGGTTGAACGGCCCGCCCTTGGCGCCATTCTTGTGCCACAGCCCGCGCTGTGCCAGGAAGCGCTCGAGCTCGGCGCGCGGCAGCGGGCGGTAGGCGATGGACAAGGGATACTGCGGCGAAAAGCTGGTGCGGTGCTTGCGCAGCTGCGCATAGTCGGCGCTGTTGAGCCGCCAGAGCTCGTCGAACAGCATCCACCAGAAGCGGTGCACGGGCGACCGGTTGATCGCCGCCAGCCGCTCGTACATGAGCGTCACACAGCCCTCGTAGAGCACGGGCAGATTGCGCATGCTGCGTGCACAGCCCGTCTCCACCAATGCCATCCGCAGCCCCAGCGGACTCAGGCCGTCGTTGTCAAACACGTCCACGAGGAACGAGTAGGGCAGCACGCGCTCCTTCCAGCGCGCCTCGCGTTCAAAGTCGCGCCGGTACTTGCGCAGCATCTTCTCCACCAGCGGCGCACGCGACACCACCACCCTCTCGTTGTCCTGCAGGAAGCGAGACAGCGAGGCGTTCATCGAAAAGTCCTCCGTAAGCCCAAACGCGCGCGAGGCGCTCACTTGCAGCAGCCGCCGCACCACGCTCAGCGCGCCGCTCGAATCCTTGGTCCGCCCCTCGTCGAAGACGATCGACACCTCAAAGCCGCCGTCGAAATTGTACCCCGCCCAGTCGAACTCGTTGCGCCGCTCGATCTTGAGCGTGCCCTCGACGTACGATACCGGCGTCGCCAGGACGTACTCGGTCTGCACATGTGCGTCGGTGCGCATGCCGAAGCGCGGCAACGCGCGGCGCCGGCGCGAGATGCGCCCGAACAGCTTGTCGACAAACACCATGCCGCTCGTCGCATCGCCCACTTGGACGTTTTCGACGTGCGGACACAGCACGCGCTGCCCCTCGAGCGCGCGCAGCGCCTGCCGCACCCGGCGCTTGCTCTGCACGCGCGAATCCGAGTTCTGCGCGATAAACGCCTCGAGCTCGTCGATCTTGGTCAGCACCACGCTCGCCGCCGTACCTTCGTCGTAGCACATGACGAGCGTCGGTGGGAAGGGCACCACGAACGCCTTGCCGAAGAACGACATGACGCCCGAAGGGAACGGCGGCGACGGCGGACGCCAGTGCACGTCGGGACCGGCATAGTCGCTCTGGATGGTGCGCAGCAGCTTTTGGCGGTGCGCGCCCTCGGCGGTGCGCGAAAAGTCGATCTCGCGCCGGTAGGCGTCGATGCCGATCTGCTTGACGATCTTGAGGTTCTCGATGTGGCGCTCGGCGACGGAGCCGCGAAAGTCGATCAGGTACGGCGGCCAGCGCTCGTCGTCCGAGACGGAAAAGGCGATGACCTGCTCGAGCGGCATGTGGTACTCGGGCGCGCACAGGATGATGATCGACAGCGTCTCCTGCCACACGCGGCGCTTGATGTGCTTGGTCATGTCGAGCACGGGCGAAAAGAGGTCGATGGTGTAGTCGACGCGGCTCTGCCACCGCTTGACCTGGTGCGCGACAAACGACATGCCGATGAGGGCAAAGTAGATGTTGCCGCCGTACGTGAACGCCTGCACAATGTAGAGGATGGTGGTGTTGTACACGGTGGAGCCCTGCACGTTGAGCGCGACAAGCAGCCCGATCGTGGCGGTGAGCACGTAGCCGATGCGCGACACCATCTCGGAGCGGTTGCCGATCTTGTCGACGAACGGCTTGATGAGCAGGTGGATGCCGAGCAGCGCCGCCATGACGACGATGAGCGTCACCTGCTGCGCCACGAGCATGGTGCGCGTGCGCACGTTGCGGAAGAGGCAGTTGTCCTTCGCAAGCACGCCGATGATGAGCAGGTTGGTCAGCTTGAACAGCAGGATGTACAGCGGCTTGTAGTAGCCCCACTTGCGGTGGTAGGAGTTGTAAAGAAAGTTGAACGGCGACTTGTCGCGGTTGAGCAGCCGCTGGTAGTAGATCTGCATCTCTTCGTTGCTGCGCTTGCGTCCGAGCTCGTTGTACGCGCTGACGCGCGGCAGCATCTCGCGGATGGTCATCATGAGCTTGTACGGATACCAGAGCGTGTAGAAGAGGATGGTAAGCACAGCCAGCGGGATCACGACATACGCCCAGTTGAAGGCATCCTTGCGCATCGTGGTGGTGTAGCAAAAGTCGAGAGGCGCGCGCCAGATGTCCGGATCGCCGAGCAACGGCCCTGGGTCCGGATGGTCCACGCCGCCCTTGTACGGATTGGGCACGGGCCAAAAGTCGCTCGACCACACCAGCGCATCCACGGCGAGCTTGCTGAGCGGCAGATAGAGCAGGCCGAGCACAAAGACGAGGCAGGTGTTGGCGAAGCGCGTGCCGCGCGATGCGCTCTTGTAGACCCAGCCCTGCGAGTCGAAGCCCTCGACGGTCTTGTTGGGGTTGTGTGCCTTGGTCATGTGCCAGAAGCGCCACAGTGCGAGGGCGGTGATGGAGATCCAGATGACGAAGAAGATGACTGCGTAGCCAAACACCGAGACCAGGTCGAATCCGAGAAAGGCGGGCAGGGTCTGGAGCATGAACTTGAAGACCTTGCTCGAAGTGCTGGTGGGATCGCTGCTGTCGAAATAGCGCTGGAAGTGGAGCTGGATGGTCATGATCTGGAAGAGATCGCGCAGCGTCTCGAGCCGAAGGATGCCGGCTGCGAATGTGCTACCCTCCACGCCGATCACCATGTCGAAGATGATGCCGAGCCAGCCGACGGCCCACAAGCCTCCGGGCGGCTTCCTGGGACCGATGGCGTTGGACTTGAGCTCGTCGAGGTTGTTTTCTTTCAGAAGCATGAGCGGCGGGAACATGTGCTTGCGGGTGATGGGATGCGACGAGGTGGAGAACTTGCTCGAGGGGGCGTCTTTACGTGCGCCTGTCTGCTGGGACTCGGTGAGGCGGGCCGAGATGCGGCTGACGACTTGTTCTGCGTCGAACGAGTCCTGAGCGATGAGCGTGGCGTCGTCGTCGAAGTCAGGAGACGGCACTTGGTGGATATCCTCGAACGGATTCAGCGTCTCTTGACCGGCGCGCTGGTGTGCGCCGAGGTCGCCCTTGTGTTGCCACGCGACCTCCTCGAGAAGAGGGTCGGAATCGTCGTCAGCATCCTTGTGGTGATCAGCCAAGCCTTTCCTTGTCTGAGGCTCGTCGTGAGCAGGCAGCTGCTTGGTCTGAGCCGCCTTGCGACGCTGTCGGAGGTCGCTCTTCTTTTTGCTGCTTCCGCTTACGTCCGAGTCGACGCTGGACGAGTAGAGCACGGCGGGGCAGCTGATCTGACCGCCAGCAACTTCGAGATGAGCCGACTTGGAGCTGAAGCGGCTCTTCTTGCTGGGTGAGGCAGGGCCGATGGAGCTATGCAGATAGGATGGCTTGACGGGCGACGAGAGGCTCTGGGTCAGGACGGCACCGTCGAGACCGAAGAGCAGCTTTTCCTGGTCTGTGCAGACCTGGTCGGATGGGGTGAAGCCAGGGTCACCAAAGATGATGGGATTGCGAAGATACTCCTCGAGGGCCGGGAGATCGATGGGAGGAGCGTCGCGCTTGAAGACCTCGTCGGCAGATATGGGGAGCCTTTGGGCGTCGACGTTGGAGCAGACTGCGTTCTGCGCGAGCTCTTCCGAGACGAGTTGCCTCCACTGCGCGGCTTGGCCCCTGGTCTTTGAGCTGTAGGCCTCCGAGTCGGCTGCGTGGGCCGACGGGAGCAAGGGGATGCTGCTCGCCTCCTCCGGCGACCATTGCTCGTGTGTAGGTTGTGGGGCCGAGAGATGGGAGCTGGAGCGCTCTGGGATGGATGCTGCTTGGTCGGGGAGGTTGCGTCGAAAGGAAGACGGCAAGAAGCGTCCTGTTCCGAGTGGCACCTTTGCGTCGAGGTCAAAGATGCCTTGTGTGTGTGAAGCATTGCCGAGCCCGTCGTGGCGGTCGATGTTTGTGTCGCGAGGCGAGAAATCTCTGACACGAGACTGAGCATCTTGACTCGAGCGGGTGGTCGAAGGTGCGGGGACGACCTTGGACTGTGCTTGCGAGGCGAGGCTGGAAGGAGGGGCAAACTTTGCGCGATCAGACGCGGGTATAGTCGAAGGAGGTTTGGAAGTATGCTTGGAGGTTGCAGAATCTAGCGTTGATGGCGGCGAGCTTGGCGTGCGAGAAGCGCAAGGTGGTGATGGTTCGGGAAGGGTGTGTATTGGGGGTGAGCAGGGCGAGGAAGGAGAAGGGATGGTGGGCACCGGGTGCACCGAGCGCAATGGCATCACATGACGGCCGCGAGGAGATGCAGGAGGTATGCGTGGACGGCTTGAGCGATGCTGCTGCTGATCAGCAGAGGGATCCTGAGGGTCCGAGGCGGTGATTTTGGTTGAGACACGGGTAAGCGGAGCAGGTAAGCCGTATTTTGGCGTCCAGTCGAGCGGGCCGAGAGTGCCGTTGGTTGCGATGACGGCGTTGGCGCGCAGGAGCGGCGAGCTCGACGAGGCGGATGCTGCGGAAGATGCTGATGCTGTCGAGGTGGCTGTAGGTTCGGGCTGCGTTTCCCACCTCGAGACGAGCTGCTGCACGCTGGCGGATCGGGGCGCGCGCAGAGACACGCTCGAAGGTCGGGGTGGCGAGCGCGTGGTCTGTGTGGATTGTGGTGGCGCCATGGCTGCTGAGCAAGCCTGGAAGCGGTCGGAGCCGTGCCGATGCGTGCCGAGCCCTATCTTGGCGTCACAATCTTGGCTAGAGCATGTTGCGTGGCGGCACACCCGAAGGGCAGCAGCATCGGAGGTGGCGAGTGGTAGCGAAGGGAGAAAGAGCGAGGTGATGGTGCAGAGTCAAGCCAGCCGGGAGCGCCGACATTCGACAAAGTCATGCTCCGACACACGGGCAAGCCGAATCTTGAAGGCGATCCCCATTTCTCATGCACGCTCACGAGGCACACTTGGCAGACAGGCCTCGAGGCTCCTATGCATCTGCATGCGCTGCTGCCCAACACGGCGGTCTCGGCCAGGCACACGACGAGAGCAACCCAACAAATCGAACCACACACAAGCCGAGATGGGCGTCGGAAGCATCCGAGCTTACGCCACACACACATGCAAACGATGCACAGCTGCAACACCCCGTACAATGAAGAAGTGCAGGAACCAAGGGAGGAAGGAGGGAGGTGGCCGGCCAAAACACTACGAATTGGCACCTGCAGAGTGAGCGAGAGAGCAACACCGAGACGCGCCCCCCCGCTGCTAAACCCCCCTCTGCACCGTCGATCCGCCGCGTCTCGCTCCGGCGCCTGGAACGGGTCCGCTACACTCAGGGGCTTTGCTGAATCGGCTCCTGTAGGGCTCGAGGGCTCCTGCAGCCGCCCTGCAGCCGTTCCAAAAAAAAGGGCTCGTCCCTTCAAAACACGCCCTGCAGCCTCCACTTGCCTGTTTTGGGCAGCCGATTTTTTTCGACTGCCTCAACTTGATGGTAGCTCGGCCTAACATTGCTAAAACCGCGCACTTTTGGGCGTGCTTTGTGGAGGCTGCGCGGCTGGATGACGTCTTGGAGCGCATTCGGCTGCAGCGGCTGCGCGCGGATGGCAAAGGGCCAAGAGGGCGATAACGGTGAGCAGCAGCGACTCAGCCAAGTGGACCCTGAAGCCGCCTCCTCGTCGCTGCGGCTCGGCGAAGCGGGGGGCGGGCTATCGAAGCGGATGTCACTCAACCGGCCGTGCTGGAGGAGCGGCGAGAGTCCCTTTGTCCCCTCGGGCTCGAGAGCCTTTGTCCCAAACCATCATCACCCTTTCCCTTTGTCTTTTGCATCCAAAGCTTATCTCCTCTACTCAAAACATGTCCGACAACCAGCAGAACAAGGGCGAGGAGCAGTCGTTCTCCATCCAGTGAGCACGATTCACCCTCCGCTGCATTGTCGCGCTTCGGACGCGTGCTGATCACCTTGTTCGCTATTGTGTGTGCTCGTGTCTGCAGGCCCCACCCGGCAACCAGTAAGTCCTCCCCATGCGCCCGTGTTGTCGTGTCGAGCAGGTCCACTGACATTGTCTCGACTTTGGTTGCGCAGCCAACGACCCCAACAACGACCCTGCGCTCAACTCGGGTCTCAAGGAGGGCGTCTTCGGAGGTGGCAAGCCCGGCCCCGCCGTCGTCAACACCGAGCAGCTCGAGGAGCCTCTGAGTATGTACATCGCAACACCCACAACATGGTGACCTTGGGCTGATGATTCTTTTCCGATTGTGCGTGGGTTCAGGCCGTGACGAGCTGGCCAAGCGTTCCGCCGAGCTCAACAAGTGAAGGCGTCGTTGCACAATGCACGCCACGATGCAGCCATAGAGTTTTTGGCTCGGCTTTGCTCCCCTTTGTCTTGATCGCGCGGTAGTGGAAATGCTAAAGTGGTCTATGCCTTGTGCCACGCGAGCGGTGTGCGACAGCACAAAGGGCCTTTGCATGACACGAGCCGAAAGGGCTGTATTTCTCCGCCGGACTGACATGCATCGTTGTCCCTTTGCTCCTCGCACCGACGGCTGCCTTTGTGCCGTGCCTCGACTTTGGGCCCTTTGTTGCAGTGCTTGAGTCGGAGCAGCATGCTTTGTGAGTGCGTGCCTGTCTCGGGACGATCAGCGTCGTGCAGACATGGGCAAGAGATATAAGCAGCTCGTCTTGTCGAGGATCCGCCCCGCGTGCTGCTCTCCCATTACGCTTTCGCTTCACTTCCTCTGCCTCTGCCTCTGCACTTTCGTTTCTTGAACTTCAGATCAGCGCTCATTCAATCATGCTCCAGTCCAACACCGACGCACGTTCGTTCAAGCTGCAGCCGGCGCCACGACCGAAGTGCAAGAAGCGTCCACAGTCGTGCACCTCCCCGCCTACGCCGGCTGCTGCGTCTACCGCATTCCCAATCGTAGACACCAGCTCGGACACCCGGTCTCTGCGGTCGAGCTTTGACGACGATGATGCGCCCACACCGCGGGCGTCGCAGTTTGCCTCGCCGCTGTCGCCTCGCTCCAGCATGTCGGCTGCCTCGGTCGCGTCCATTCGCTCCTCGAACTCGGTTGCGCGTCTGCTGGCCTCTCTATCCGTGTCGCCTCGCCTGAAGACCTCGCCGGTTGCTACAGTACCGGTGGTGCTGACGAGCCAATCGCCGACGCCTTCATCGCCGTTGTTTCCGCGTCGAACGCTGATGCGCAGTCTGTCGGCGACGTGCATGAATGCACAGCTCAAGTCGCCCACGTCGCCGATGACGCCGTCGGTGGATGCAAAGATGCGCAAGCGCATGGGGTGGAGAGGCGCGCTCAGTGCGCGCATGCAGGCCGAAACGGCGATCCTCTTGTCGCCAGGTAGCCCCATCACCCCGCGTCGTGCAGAGGCACTCCATACCCCGACCCAGTCGAGCATGGCGCGTGACGCGACCGAGGCCGAGATCGAACCGCTCAGTGCGACGCTCAAGAGGCTCGGGGCCAAGAGACGCACAGAGAGGTTTGCGTCGACATGCGTACCGGTCCAATCCCCCCTGCAAGAGGAGATGTACAAGAGTCCCGATACGGCAAGCAGCGAGTCGTGGCAGGTCATGACGGCGACACGAAAGATCTTGCAGCTGCCCTCGTGGGTGCGGTTTGAGGCCAACCACCATGCGCGTACGCGAGCGGCCGCCGACAACCGCGCCGCCGCAGCCGAGTACTCCAAGCTTCAACTCGAACGTTCGGCCGCCCAGGAGGCGGATGCGATGCTGCCCAAGGTCAGCCATGTGGGCGATGTGGCTCCCGACAGTCCGAACGGTGAACTCTTCGCCGGATTCGATGTGGATCTGGGCGCGGAGAAGAAGCAGGAGCCCGAGTGGGTGGTGAGCGTCATCCGACCACCCAATATGGCCGCACTTCGTACGGACAAGGTGGAAGCCAAGGGCAGTAGGGTGTTGGGGGCGGTGCGTTCCGCCTTGCCAGGCTTGGCTCCACAGCGTCGGATAAAAGACTACATCCCGCAAGACGAGAGAGATGGCTGGGGTGGGGTGACTAGGTCAAGTTGGTTTCGCGGCTACGATAAAGGCCCGCTCGTATCGCCCAATCCGCCTGCCAAGCAGCGCGGATTGAAGAGGATCATCCTCCAACCGGCGCGTGGCGAGGATGAATGGGAGGATATCGACGAGCCTTGCTCTGCCAAACCTGCACCGACGTCGTTTCTGGAGATGAACGATGCGCCTCGTTTCCAACCTCGTGTTGCGGCTAGCAGGTGGTTTCCCTTCCGCCCGTCAGGCGCCAAGGTGAAGGATGGCAAGGATTGGATGGGCGATATCCAGCTCGACACGTGGCGTACCAAACGACTCGCCGTCGACAAGGTAGCTAGCGAGCTGGTGACGAAACACGGTTCGGTGGAGAATCGGCCGGTGCGCGGTCGGAGTGCGCGCACAGCCGGGATCGTCGCCGCCCTCACCGCCGTCCTTGTCGTTGCGATCGTAGCCATCGTGATGACAGCCAAAGACACACCCGTACAGATGATGGGAGGAGGAGGGGCGTCGGTGGCGAATGGGATTGGACCGCCAACGGCTGTACAGCCTGTGCTCGATCCAAGACAGTCGAGCGTCGCCAAGGCCGCACACATGTCGCACACTTAGTATGTAGTTCTTGATAATCGCATTCCTTCTTTCGATCAGGTTCGAATGCATGACTGGGTTTCATCCGAGCACGGCTAGGGTCAAGTTTGGGGCAGAAAGGGGAAGGGCAAATGCGACACGCCTCAGAGAGTGTAGCTTGCACATGCGACTGTGGCATCTGTCGACGACGTCGCTGGCTCGAGCACACGTGGGTGGACCAGCGTGGTCAAACCTCGAACGAGCGGACACACTTGCGCACTCGGTCGAGTCACAGCCTGGTTCGACCATCGTCCCACTGCGGAGCAGCGTCATTCTGGCGCAGCTGTCTCATCGCACATTCGGTGATGGCACGTCCCTTGTGATGATTCTGTTTCGATCGGTGAAGTGCAGGCCAGCTTCGCAAGTCCACCACGTCGCCCAGATCACATGCCAGCCGACTCAGCAGAGGCAGCTGTCAGCCAAGGTCGCGGCTGTCTTTGCAATCAGTACTGGCAGGGGCTGGGTCGAGCGTACCACCCCAATCTCGTCGCTGCATTGCCTCGAGATAGCAGACCCTCGGCATGGCGGCCACAAGATGCTGACAGTACACGCACGGTATGGTTCCAATCAATACTCGCTGACCAACGCCCTGCGTGGGAGAAGCTCTGCTATTGCTCGCGCGCTAATCGATGAGATGCATGGCGACCTTGCCGCGCTTGGTGTTGGCGTCCTTGGTGACGCCGATGCTGACGGTGCACTGATCGAAAATCCCCAGCTTTCGATCCCTCTTGAGCCCCGAAACGCTCTTGGGGATGGTGACTTGGTACGCCTCCTGGTCGAAGTCCAATTCGTCCTTGAAGGTAATCAGCCCCTCGAGGCCAAACTGGTTGACGAATACAGCAATGCCGTTCCTAAACACCCGAATCACGTATGCTGAAGCGTTCAGCCCTGCCTCTTTACCGCTGGACGAGTTCCGTTCGGCGATGCTGAGGCCGACGTAGAACTCGACGCTGGCACGGCCGGCTTGCTGCGCGCTACGGTGGCGCTTGTTGACGACCTTGAGGATGTCATCGACGTAGTCCTTGCTGTGAAGCGAAGGGTGCAGTGGCTCGTAGTTGATAGACGCGGCCAGTTGGCGGTGCGCCAATACATCGGCATAACGTCGGATCGGCGAGGTAAAGTGCGTATACATCCCAGCGGCTAGACCGTAGTGGCTGAACGTATCGCGTGCCACACTGCCGGAACAAAAGTACTCGGCTGACAACATGCACCGCGTAGCCATGATCCTCACAAGCGTGTTGAACGTCCCATCTGCCGGATCTACGCATTTGTCGAGCGAAGCAGCCAAAGCGCCGGAACTCGACACATCCAGCTCCATCCCGCGTCGCTTCAGCAGAATGTCCTGCAGCGTCTCAAAGTTCGTCCGCGGCGGCGGCATGTGTCTCCTGAGCACCGCCGTCATGGGGAACACCTCGTAGATGCGTTCGGCCACCGAGACGTTGGCGAGCAGCATGAACTCTTCCACGAGCGAGTTGGTCTCGCGCATCTCCTTTTGTTCGACATCAATCGGCCCGGCGGATTCGGACGAGTCGAGGTGGATGCGCACCTCGGGAGATGCCAGGTTGAGCGCACCCGCATCCATGCGCTTCTGCTTGAGCTTCTTGGCGAGCGAGTTGAGCAGCCGAATCGACTTTGTGATGGCATCGTTTTTGGACGCGTCGTCCTTGCGCAGCTGAGCCTCCTCGTACGTGAAAGCGGCCTTGGAGGCGATGACCGACTTGTGGAATCGCACGCTCACGATCTCGGCCTCGGGCGTCATCTCCCACACCGCACTAAACGCCAGCCTCTCGACGTACGGGCGCAGCGAGCAGAGGTTGGTGCCGAGCAGATGCGGCAGCATGTCGATCCTCTTGTCCACCAGATACACCGTAGTGCCGCGGCTGGCCGCTTCGGCATCCATGGGATTGTCGGGACGCACAAAGTACGAGACGTCGGCGATGTGGACGCCCGCCTGGATGTTGCCGTTGGGCAGCTGCTTGGCATGCAGCGCGTCGTCGATGTCCTGGCACCCGGGCGGATCGATGGAGCAGATGATCTCGTCGCGCATGTCGACGCGGTCGCGCCACGCGCGGTGCGTCATGTCCTTGGGCGGCACCACCCAGCTGTCGCCCTCGGCGGGCAGACAGTCGAGGATCGCCTTGCTGAACGGTCGGTACGGCACATCGTGCTCGAGCAGCAGCGACTCCTGTTCGGCCTCCTTGGACTCGGCCTGGCCAAGCGCGCGCACAAAGTGGCCGTCCGGATAGCGCGACACAGGCCGCCACGCGTCGAGTGCCACGAGGATCTTCTGACCCATCAGCTCGCGTGCCTGGCGTGTGCGGATGCGGATGCGCGGCAGCTTGCGGTCGACCGGCGTGGCGAACACGGTCTGCGCACCCAGGCTCGAGAGCGCCGACGAGTTGACCGAGTTGGCATCGACGTGTGCGACGTAGGAGCGCCAGTTGCGACGCACGATGCCCACCACTTTGCCCGTCGGCTGCGGCTCGCCGCGTGCCGAGCGTGCGTTGGCCTCGGCGTCCGCAGCCTCCTTCCTGGCAAGACGCGCTTCGATGTCGTCGTCGGCCACACCTTCGCCATCGCCGGCCTCGGCGTCGTCGTCCTTGAGTGCAGCGTCGGCGTCGATGACTTCTTCCGTGGCGGCCTTCCACTGGTCCTTGGGCAGCATCTGCACAGCAACAATGTCGCCGTCGACGGCGCGGTTCATGGCCTGGCGTCCGACGAGGAGGATGGGGCGGGTGAGCGTGCCGGCGCGCACGGTGGCTTCGAGGTAGTTGTACGGATTGGCGTTGAAGAAGCCCTGGAGCAGCTGTCCGGACTTGATGCCGGCCATGAGCTGGTTCTGGGGCAGATGCTCCGGATAGAGCACGGCGCGCTTGTCGCTGCCGCCGGAGCCGGCTACGACGGAGCGGGAGGCGAGGAGGTCGAGCAGCTGGTCGGCGTTGTCGAGGCCGTCGATGTAGTCGCGCACGGACATGGCGCGGATGTCGTCGTTGAGCGCGCGCTGCACGTTGTCCTGGTCGTCGCTGATGAGCAGCACATCGAGGTTGGCCTTGGTCGAAGAGCCGGGGCCTGTCGAGGCCATGAGGTGGTTACGGTACCACTTTGCAGCGACGCGGATGGCCCTATCGTTGCGATCGTTGGGCGACTCGTCTTGGTGCTGCAGCACGGCGGTGTCGCGGCCAAAGTCATTGTAGAAGACCCAGAATCTGCGATCCGGGTCGGCGATGAGGTTCTTGAGGCGGTTGAAGAGCGGCAGGCTCCTGTGTCGCACCTCGTCGGCGACGGTCTGGAGCACGATGACGTCTGTGAAGCTCGGATTCTCGATGAGGTCCATCTGGTGCAGGAAGGCGTTGGTGTCGAGCACGAGGTAGTGGTTTCGATCCACCTTGTTGTTCTTGAGTCCAGCGGGGTCGAGGAAGATCTTTTTCTGGAGGCCGGCATCCTGGGCCTGTTTCTGCATGTCGGCGTGGAGGTGGTGGCATCGCTGGCATGCGCGACTGCCGCAAGCGATGTCGTCGCGGAGGTAGCGCTCACGGAGCACCTTGAGCACCTTGCCGCGAGCGGTTTTGCGGAAGAACTTGCGCTGTGCGGACTCGAGCTCCACGCCAGAGAGTGGGCGCTTCTGTATGCTGATTTCGACCATGGCTGCGATTGTCGTAGTGGGCAGACACGAGTGGCGCCGTAGAAGAGATGGTGGGGGTGACAGAGAGGATGAGGTAGGGGCTCGACCCCGTCTTGTCGTGCAAAATCGCACTTCTTTGAGTGGTCTGCGCGAGTCTTTGAAAGTGGAGCTTTCGGAAAAAATTAGAGGAGCGCACGCGGCAGATCGGAGCGTCTCGGCACCCGATGTCGATTCCGATCCGCCAACCTCGCCTGCTCTGTTGCCAGCGAGGCGAAGCGGCTGCAGGTGGGCGTCGGGCCGGTGTCAATGTAGCCGAGACGCCCTCGGAAGGGTGTTTGGGCTGGGTGCGCAGTGGTACGCTGCCAAACAAGGTCAGGAGATGCGCAACTCCAGATGCGGCTCCCAGATCAAGTGCTCGACCAGCACACTTAGCCTGCCGCTCGAACGATGAGGATAGGGAGACTGAGATGACCATCAATGGCGGTGCTGGAAGGAGACGAGGCTGGGGTCGGAGCCGAAGCGGAGAAGTGCAAAAGCCGACGTAGGAGAGTGGTGAGGAAGCGGAAGGCTACCCACTGAGACTAATTGGATCGATACGGAGGATCGCGGCGAAAGGGGACGATGGGAACCCAGTTGGAGGGAGTGCTGGATAGCATCGACCTGCAGGAACGGATTCCAGCGCCACGAGGGCATTCTCAGCGTATGCACAGCCAGCGATGCAGGGAACCAAGGCCGAGCTGTGTGCCCGAGGAATGGATGTTCGGATGGGCCGCGGATGGAATGATGGGCATGTCGAATCGGCCGTCGCGCTCTTTTCGTCGGAGCTGGCGTAGGTGAGAGCGTGAGAGCGTGAGAGCGTGAGCGAAAAGCAACGACGAGTTTTTGGCGGATCCAATCTCCGCCGTTGAGGACGCCACTTTGCCAAACGCGTCTGCGAAGCCTCTCTCTCTCTCTCT